CGGGTCCTGCGAGGACCACACAATATTGGGGATGGGCTGTTGCCAGCTTTAGACCCTGGAGGCTCCTGCTGGCGTTGGTGTGGCAGGACGTGACCCAGACTCTTTCCTTGGTCTACATGAACCACTGTCCTGACTAAAGCGTGTCTGTTTCCAGAAACTGGAAGAAAATGACGATGACTCCTGCTTAAACTCCCCATGGGCCGATAACACTGCGTTGAAAAGACATTTTCATGGGGTAAAAGACATCAAGTGGCGACCCAGATGAGGCCTGCCACCTAATGAGGCCATCGGAGCCACTAGCCAGCCTTCCCTGAGCAAAATAATCATAATACTATAAAAGACATGGAGGTTTCTATTTTCCTGGTTTCTTTTAGTTTGAATTTTTTAAATAGGTCATTCATTGTTTTAGAACTTAATAAATACATAATCAAAAGAAAATGTGCAAATTATTCTCAGTCTAGGACAACTGTGTCGCATCTAAGCATTTTCTCTGATGTTTATAGATGTACTTGCCATGCCCTTCTCAGGCCCCATGTCTTGTGTTCTCATGGGTTGGAGTTTCCATAGCAAGATGAATTCCGCGGTGGCCACCAGGGGCCGCCAGCCGCAGGCTTGTCTTTGAGATCAATGGGGATGGAGTCACTTTAAGGCACTAGGGCAGGGGCTTTCCACCTGTGGGTCGTGGCCCTCATAGAAAGGGGCCACATGTCAGATATTTACATTACTATTCATAATGGTAACAAAATTGCAGTTATGAAGTAGCAATGAAATAATTTTATGGTTGGGGTCATCACAGCATGAAGAACTGTATTAAAAGGTCACAGCATTAGGAAGATTGAGAACCACTGGCCCAGGGAACCCACTTACAGATCCGACTGTGCCAGCGTCGAAGGTGAAGCTTGGCTCCTGATTGGTTCCTCCCCTCCCCTGGGTCTTTTCTGCCAGGAGGAGAGGCCACCTGCAATGTAGGTTCTAGGCGAACCTGGCATCTTGATTCTGTAGTTAACCTTTGAAGTCTCCTTCACCAAAACAGGTCAGGGAAAAGAACAGCGGTTCCTGTCACAGGCAGGCCAACTCTAGGCTTAGGGTCCTGCTCTCCCTGGACAGCTATGTTGGCTCAGTGACCACCTACAGAACACATGGTTCACTGGTCTTTTTAGGGAACTCACTGTTCCCTAAGCCACTAACACCACCCCACCCCCAACCCTGGACCTATCCACAAATGAAGTCCACCCCAGACTTCTCCCTGTAGCTGGACGTGTCCTAGAGACACAGTCACCCTTGACCTTGGCCTCCTGGATGCTGGCCCAGTTTAGAGGAAACTTCTTGCCCCAGTGAGGGACAGGAAACACACTTCTGTCCCCTGCCCTGGCCTTCCTGTTCCCTGCCCCTCCCACCTGAGTGCCCAAGCTTCCCACCACACCCTTGAAAGGCGTTGTGGGAGCCAATGGAGGTGGCCCAGGGACAGGTTCCACCTACTCAAAGGCCGCCTTTCCCTGGGGCCAGCATCCCACATCTGTGGTGAGAACAAGCCCTTTGTTCTCCAGCATCATCTGCCTAGATGTCCGCTCCCACTTGGGAGACTTGGGCTTCTGGGAGGAGCCCTGAGCTGAGCCCCAAACCTGAAGTTTCTCCCAGAGGCATTTGCCTCCTGGCCTCTTCTACTCACAATCACCAAGCTACTTTGAGTGGCTGCTCAGAGCTGCCCCTGAACCTAAAGCCAGACGTAGCTGCTCATGCTCTGTGCTGCTGCTGTTTGGATTGATCAAATTTTGTAAAGAAAAAAAAACAAATTTGTTTCTGTTTCCCCTTACTTTGATTATAATTTTAAGTTTCTTCCTTAAAATGTTTTGGCTTTGGATGACATTTGCTTTTAGAGCCTCCAGTTGTATCTGGTGTAGAAGATTCATGCTCAGAATTACGTGGAGAATGAGTCAAGGCGTGTGACCACAGCAGAACTTTTTAGGAACTATGTCAGGGTTGCTAGGAACTCATGTCAGTTCTGTCAGATGTGGGTGCTGTCCCTGGTCCAGACACATAAGCAGCAGAACTTGCCCTCTTGAGCCCCACTTCTCATTCTGAGGGAATTATGAGCTGACGCAGGATTCCTGGCACCCACCACCCTCCTCTGGGGGGTGCTTGGTGCAATGCACCCTCGTCCTGTCTGCTTCACACTCTGCTGAGAGCCAGATGCTCAGGAGAGCAGCTCACTGGAGTTCCCAGAGGTGTGTGGCCCCTCCATAGCCATCCACAAAGGGGCTCACTGGCAGTCACCACACTATTAGGAGGTGTGACTTTGCTGGAGTAGGTGTGGCCTTGTTGGAGGAAGTGTGTCACTGTGGGGGCGGGCTTTGAGGTTTCCTCTGTTCAGGAAACCGCCCAATGTCTCAGTCAACTTCCTGCTGCCTGCAAGATGTAAGACTCTCAGCTACTACTCCAGCACCACCACATCTGCCTGAGGCTTCCTGTCATGATAATAATGGCCTGAACCTCTGAAACTGTAAGTGAGCCCCCACAATTAAATGTTTTCTTTACAAGAGTTGCTGTGGTCATAGGGTCTCTTCACAGCAATTGAAACCCTAAGGCAGCTAGCACCTTCCAGGGTTCTGTCACAAGATCACCTTGTCCCTTAGTCACTCTGTACAGGAAATGTGCCATCCAGCTTGTAATCAAGGCCACATGCATAGGGCATATGTCTTGCGTCTCAGCCCATGACCCCTCACCCAGAGCCCAAGCAGCCACCCTTCCAGAGGCGGTGAGATGAGATTCCAGGACCCTTCCATGTGGCAGAGGGCTCAGGGGGATTTGACCATTCCCAACACATATGTCTAGTAGCTCACAATCACTGGGACGCCAATTCCAGGGATGTCTGGTACCTCTGACCTCCCTGGGCAAATGCATGCATGCATACACACACACACTTTTAGATTTTCAAGGTATTTGAAATGGTTTCTTCCTCTTTTCTAGTTCCTAATGCCTAGAATACATATGCAATGGCAGAAACTCCAGCAGTCATCTTGAGCTGACCTGGGTGAAAACACAAAGCCACATGGCAGAGCAGTGAGAGGAAGAGCCTGGAACCACACTTAGAGCCACCTTTGTCCAAACTACCTGGAATAGCAGGCAGCCCGTCTTCTTCTCACTGTGCTGTGCCCACCCCTGACGCCCCGAGCAAGGAAAAGGAGCGAAGCCAGATGGGATAGAATTGTGTAGGACTCTAGAAAACAAAGATGGGCCATTTCCGCCCATCTTTGTTTCCGCCCATGTTGTTCTTAAGCATTGAAAGACTAGAGAGGGATACTCAGAAGAGTGCAGCTCTCGAGAAATGGGCCCTCTCCACAGTGCTGTGTTGTCAGACTGACAACTGCGGTCGATCATCACTCCAGGATCAGTTTCTCATCTGGAGGTTCTGACTCCATGTCATTAAGCACAGTCCAACCATCAACACCAAGAGAAGAGACAGTGTCTTAGTTTCTTTTCTGTTGATGAGAAAAAATACTCTGGTATAAGCAACTTAATGGAGAAAGAGCTTAGTGTAGCTGCATTCCAGGTTAAGTCTATCATATGGGGAGCTCAAGGCAGCAGGAGCGTAGAGCAGCTGGTCACATGTCCATAACCAGAAAAAGAGCAATGGAAGCATCACATATACGCAGCCCAGGATCTCCTGCCTGGGGAATGGCGCCACCCTCGGTGGGTGGGTCTCACTGCCTTAATTAAGAGACATTCTCAGAGGCCTGCCTTTCAGATGATTGTAGATTTTATTGACAACACTAACCATCACAGACTAGGACTGTATGTAGCTCAGAGGTAGATAGAGCACTTGGCTAGCATGTGCAATGGCCCAAAGCCGGAAAAAAAAAAAATCAGACAAATGAATGGTATCCAAAATAAAGAACTTTTAAAATGAAACAATAATAAACAGCTCAAATTTAAAAATGATCCAAGGAGTTATTCAGGTGGAAATAATGTTTATTGGAAGAATAGTTGAGTAGCATTTACTATGCTAGATCTCACCCCATCTCTCTAGGACCTTGATGAAAAGCCAATGAGAGGAAGAAAGCCCTGTTCACGAAGCTCTGGCAAAATCCCCTCAGAGGAGCAGATGGTTTTGTCTCCGTGACAACGAGAAGGGCCAGAATTTGAAGGTGCTGATGGATCCCTCTCACATGAGGGTGCCCAGCACGACATCCAGACACCACCTGAGGCTGGAATTACGGGGGAGGGGGGGGCTGACAAATGACAGCTGCGGCCTGTTCCGACTAGATGATGACGGCGGGAACCCGTGGTTCGCTTCGGGGAAAGCCTCAGTGTGATACGGTGGGAGCAGATGGGAAGCTTTCCAGCGCCCAAGGTAGATGTCTTGGGAGTGTCTAGCAGGTCAGGAGGCCCTACTCCCCTTGATCTCTCTAGGGTCACATTCCTAGGACACCAAACATGTCTACCTAACATATCATCTTCAGTCATCCAAGCACAGAAAAGGGCATTATGCTCGCTGACAGGGCGTATGTTACATCTCACACTTGACTTTCAAGACCTTGAATGAATTTTGCTGAAATAAATGTTCACCTCTGGGTTTAGTCCAAGTGTGTGAGGTTTTGGTCCCTATGGTGTTTTTCTTTTAAAAGAATATTAAGAGTGACTGAAAAGAGGGATTTAGAATGAATGGCATTCTTCACCTTGTCTTATAAGATAGAAGCGGTAAATGCTATAACATTTCTTAGGGAAATGGATTTAAGGAAAATGAGATTTAGAGGCCAGGACCATTTATTGCAATGTGACATCAATGTCCTTGTGGGTCTCCCTGTTCAAGCTTGATCGGGCAGGAGGTGGCAAGGGTCAGGGCATCCAGTCCCCAGGGACTCCTCAGGACTGACCCTCAGCCTCGGCACTTCAGAGCCTGGGTTGTAGAAAAGCCTCCACCCCAGTGATCTTGGAAGCCCAGTCACCTAGTGAGGCCATGACAGCCTGGGAAAGTGCTCCCCAGGTCCCACCGAAACCTGCCAGGTCAGGGGACCACATTCCCTGGTAACCATCTTCACATGGTGTCTACATCGTGCCCTGGCTCAAGTACAAAATGCAGGAGTGTACGAGGGTGTGAGATCCCACCCCAATTCTAAACTCATGGGAGACACCTGTCACCTTTAGGTGTGAGACAGGCTCAGGACTGAGCCGTGTGGCCCGAGGAGACTTTGGCAGCTCTAGATGTCAACGGCCACTCAACCGACCACAACCATGCATGTGGCATTTCTCCCTGCTCCTTGACTGTGGATGTGACCGATGTTTTGAGTTCCCACCACCCTGATCCCCAGTTATGGCAGATGGTAACCTGGAATTGTGGGCTAAGGAACCCCTTTCTCTTGTAAGCTGTTTTTATCACAGCACCAGAAATGAAACCAAGGCATCTTCTAGGGTCACATCTGAACGGACAAGGGCGGGGG